TAAGAAAGTGTAAAGCATTCGGGCATGATAATATAAAATATTTTTAACTTTAATGAAGAAAAAATGACTGGTTTATTACAGTTTTTTCAATTGTTTTTTCAAAATATAATCACAATTATTCAAACACCACACTCAATTTGCAGAATTCCTAGATTGTTTGCAAAATGACACACTTCAGTCAAAACATACAAATTTCAGTCAAAACACACACACTTCAGTCAAAACATACACATTTCAGTCAAAACACACACACTTCAGTCAAAACATACACATTTCAGTCAAAACGTATACACATATTTGTGAAACTGCTATTAGTTTTCATTTAACCAACACAGTGCTTAATGATCACACACTATTGCAGACAGTTTCACACTGCTGTGATTAATAAAAAAACACATTTGTAAAAAAAAAAAATCTAAATTTAGGAAATAGCATGTGCTAGATTTTTGGGCAGACATTGTTATGTATGGGATCATTTTGATAACAAAACTAAATAGTGACAAACCCAAAACATTCTCCATGATTAGTTTGATATAGGGAGAATGTACACAAATAGGCCTACTATACACTTATCAAGCACTGCACAACACTGATGCTGCAGACTGAGTATTTCAAGTATTTATTTCAATTCAAGAAATTCAGTATTTCTGCTGAGATTTGATTGAACTCTTTGTCTAGCTTCCATCAGTGTCAGTCTATGTTGATAACATAGTGTAACGGTGGTCACACACACAAAAAAAAAAATTTTTAATTAATAACTCTTAGGTTAGATTCGAACCCGGGCCTCCCGCATGGCAGGCGAGATTTCTACCACTGAACCACGGAAGGCGCTGTCGGGGCCGTGCGTCTGGTAGTATCTCCCACTAACGCAGTCACCCTCGGGCAAAAAAAAAAATAAAATATATTATAATATAACATACATATATTAACAAATTTTATGCATGATTTCGGGTGCCAGACAAGTTTTAAACCTTGCCACAAATAAATCTAACTATAATTAATTACCCAGGATAGCGAAAACAAAACTTATACAAGACCCTCCGTTACATACAGTAACATAGAACCATACGAAATAAGAACAAGAAAATCGAATTCCACTTAGAAAGATTTAATGAATTAATTGAAATGGCAAATACAACTACAAGTAATAACAATACCAAAAATAAATATTTATATAGTCAATATCCTACAATCATTTTAAGTAACCCAAAACAAGATTCCTCTCAAAAAACAACAACAAATACACCAAGAAATAAATAAACAAAACTTTTCAAATTTCTCAAATAACTAATTAAATGAAAATAAAGGGAGGTTGGGTGGAGAATGTATGTATGTAAGTGTATGAGTGAAACTGACCCAAGAGGCTTGCAGTGGTGACGTCAGGAGGTTACACGTCAGCAGTTCACTGGCTGGCAGGTGACTTGGCAGAACGGATAGAAATGATGAACAGGCAGCCGTTTTCGGAGGTGTCCTAACACATCGCACCGGTAATTTTTCAACACGAAGGTAACATAAGACTGGCACTCGTCAGCAATTACCAGGAAACTTGTTGTTACGGTGGCTATAAAGGACAAGTCAGTGAAAACTTGAGCATCGCCGCATCTCTTCCTCAGCTTCCTCAGACCCAGGCAGAGCCACACCCGCAACGCAACTTGGTGACGCAAACACCACTCCCACACTGGAGGTCAGAACTCTCTCTCTCAGAAGAGAAAAAAAAAAACCCTTTTATATAATTTCACATCATTGTAATTGGTTGGAGTATCCAATGGGGATGAACTCATTATAAAAGGCAGTGACAAAGGAAGTAAACACAAAATAGGGGCAGTACAGAAAGTTTCTGTATTGTCACATTCTCCCCCCCTTGACAAAACAACCCATGGTTGTTAAAAGAAATACAATCAAAATCCAAAAAATTCCTCCTCTTCAGAGGTTTCTTCAAACAATTCCCGAAGTCGTTTTTTTTCTTGGACTTCCAACTCCTCAGCTGTTGGGAAACATTCTTTAAGATTACACACATGTACTGTGCGCACATCTTCTCCAGTTTCCTCCAAGGCTATACGATAATTTAAAGGTCCCAGTTGTTTTAAAACTCGGTAAGGTCCTTTCCATTTTGGTGCCAGCTTGGCACTGAACTTGTGCTGTGCACTGGACTGAGGGAAATTGCGCAACCATACTCTGTCTTTATTTTTGAAACCGGCCTCTCTTCTCTTTTTGTTGTAGTTTCGGAGTTGGCGTTGTTGTGCCCTTCGGCAATTCTCTTGAACTTGTGACTTCAGTTGTTGTATGTGACAGACTACATCATAAGAGGTATTATCGGGGATAATATTCTGACCATGAAGTATTTTATCCATTGGTCCATGCAGTTTCCTTCCAATCTGCAGTTCTGCTGGAGTTACTCCCGTGGTTTCCTGGATGGCAGTATTCATTGCGAATCTCATCTCAGGTAAGAACTGATCCCATTTGCTGTGGTTGTCATCCACATATGACGCAATCATACTTTTGACAGTTCTATTCACCCGTTCTGTCATATTGGTCTGAGGGTGATAAGCCGTTGTTAGCTTCTGTGTAACTCCCCACTTTTCACATACATTCTTAAACACAGATGAGATGAACTGTGTTCCTCGATCAGAGAGAATGAAGTCTGGAACCCCCCAACGGGTTAAGATTTCTCTTCTAAAAATCACAGCAACACTCTGAGCATTTGCCTGACGCATGGGAAAGAACTCAACCCATTTGGAGTAATAGTCAACAAACACCAACAAATACTCGTTTTGCTGTGTACTCCGAGGTAGGGGTCCCATAATATCAACTCCAAGCATTTGATTAGGTCGAGAGGTGATGGTTGATTGAAGTTTTCCTGCTGGTTTCTGATTATCATACTTGATCGTTTGACACTTCACACATTCTTTAACGTGTCTCTTCACATCAGTCCATAAGCCTGGCCAAAAAGCAACTGCTTGGATTCGTTTATAAGTTTTGTATATTCCATGATGGCCACTTAGCGGGTGTGAATGATAGTGATGAAGTAGTGTCGGCCGAAGACGGTTTGGAACATACACACGATAATGTACTTGGTCATTCTTCAGGTAAGTTTTATGGTACAGCTTGTCCTCTATCACTTCATATTGTTCCAATTGATTTGGTTCTTCTGCTACAGCCTGTAGTAGTTTTGTTGTTTCTTCATCTGAATGTTGTTCCTCCCATAGGACAACATCAGAAACTGGAAGCTCTGTGTGCTGGTCTGTTTGCTGCTTCGTGTAAACTGCTGTAACAGGAGAAATTGTAGTGAGAGGTGATCTGGACAAAGCATCAGGAGCTACATTTAACTTCCCTTTTCGGTATTCAATGATGAAGTTGAATTTCTGCAGTCTCAAGACCCATCGAATAAGGCGGCTGTTAGTTTTTGTGGATCCCATCACCCACTGAAGAGCAGAATGGTCCGTTACTACTGTGAAGAGCTTGTACTCTAAGTAATGTTGCCACTTCTCCAATGCCCAAACAACAGCTAAACATTCTTTTTCTGTTGCAGTGTAATTTACCTCAGCCCCAGTTAAGGTGCGACTGGCATAGGCAATGACCTCTTCACTACCTGGATCCTTTCGTTGAGTGAGAATAGCACCCAGTCCTGTATCGCTGGCATCAGTGTATACAATGAAAGGTATTTTGAGGTCAGGGTGGCCAAGAATGGGAGGTGAGGTAAGGCATGATCTTAACTGGTCAAATGATTGTTGACACTGTGCTGTCCATATAAACGCCTGTCCTTTTTTCTTCAGGGCATTGAGGGGCTCAGCAATTTTTGAAAAGTTTTGCACAAACCGGTGGTACCAGCCGGCTAGTCCCAGGAATCGCTGAACTTCCTTCAGATTGTTGGGTGTAGGAAAAGAGAGAATGGCCTCAACTTTGCTCGGATCTGCCGTGATACCTTTAGCATTTACCACATGCCCTAGAAACGTGATCTCTGGTAGGAAAAACTTGCATTTTTCCAGGTTGATGGTCAGTCCAGCAGCTTCTAGCCTGTGGAGGATGGTTTGCAGATCACAGAAGTGTTGGGTCACTGAGGGAGAATACACAATTATGTCATCAATGTAGACAAGGCATATCTTTCGTCTTAGTTCCCCTAGTACGGTCTCCATTAACCTCTGGAATGTAGCAGGTGCATTTTTTAATCCAAAAGGCATAACATTAAATTGATATAGCCCATCAGACACAATAAAAGCAGTCTTTGCTTTGCTGTCAGGATCCATCATCACTTGCCAATACCCACTGTTTAAATCGATGGTAGAAAAAATTGTTGATCCAGAGAGAGATTCTAGTATCTCTGTGATGTTTGGAAGAGGGTAAGCATCATTTTCCGTTATTGCATTTACTTTGCGGTAGTCCACACAGAATCTTAACTTGCCATTTTTCTTAGGAACCAACACCACCGGTGAAGCCCAAGAAGAATGTGATGGTTCTACAATACCGTCTCTCAACATTTGTTCCAATTGCTCCTCCATCACCTGTTGTTTTACAGGAGACAAACGATATGGCTTTTGTTTGATAGGTACCTGACTGGTGGTGTAGATACGGTGTTGAAGTAACTTGGTTTTCCCAGTTCTGTGAGTACATACCCTGGGGTTATTCTGCAGGATCTGTAGTAACTGTTGCTTTTCTTCTTTGGGAAGCTGTGCTTCACTTACAGCATCCCAGATCTGTGTTGCATCATCGACATGATCAGTTTGTAGCATACCCAATGAGGTTTGAGGTGGAGGGACAGCACTTAACAAGGTGAGATTGAGTTTGTTCTTTCTGAGCGTCTTTTTTTCTGTCATGGGTGTCATTTTAACTAGAGGTTCACTTGCAGATCCAGGTTGAAATGGGTGTTCTTCAGTAGGATCAGACGTAAAAGAATACTTGCGTTCACTAACATGAATTTTCAGACCACTAAAGAATATGAAGTCCAAACCCAAGATGATGGCATATGCAAGAGCTTGAGATGGGAGGACAACAGCAGGTACTACAAAGGATTTACCATGTAGTTGAATAGTGATGTTTAACCATCCTAAGGGTATCTCCGCTTTTCCATTAGCCAAGTAAAGAGGTCCACTCGACCAGTTTTGTAGCTGGGCAGAGGTATCAAAATGCTGCATTAGACTTTCATGTATTAGCGTGTAGCTTGCTCCAGTGTCCAGTATGGCTTTTCCAAACCATGATCCAATACTAATTGGGACAACTAATTGTTGTGGAATGGCCAGAGATGACATAGTTGTAGATGGAAGGAAAACATTTGGAACTTCTTTTGTTGATTGGGGTGTTTCTGAGGCTGCTACAATGATGTTCGTAGGTCGACCTCCTGACTTTGCAGCATGAAAACTCTTTCCATGGTTTGGGTGATGTTGCGTGGAAGATTGCTGGGAAGGTGGAGTTAAATACATTGGGCAATTTCCCGGTGGATGTGGACCACTGCACCTCCAACACTGAATAGGCTGTTTCTCAACAGGTCGATTGGAGAAAGATTTTTGTGAACTTGCTTGTTTGTGAGCCATTCGACTTTCATACCGTCTTTGTTCTTCATAGTCTCGTTCCAATAGATATCCCAATTTAACTAGATCCTCCACGGTGTTCACTCTACTGCGCAGTTGGCTGGCAAGGTATGGTTTGATATTTTTTAGGATCATTTTTACAATTTCAGTCTCTGTTAGAGTGGATTTCCATCTTTTACAAAGTGCTCGATAAGTAAATGCAAAATCTCGAATTGACTCTCTGTCTCCTTGAACTCTAGTACGAACACGCTCAGCAAGCTCATCTTCGTAGTCTTCAGACAGGAATGCAGAAAGAAATGCAGACTCAAATTCCTTCCAAGTCGCAATATTGGAGCGACTCACTTCCCACCAGTCCCGAGCTGTGCCATATAAGACAGTGGGAAAGGTAGCCAAAAGATCTGCATCTGTCAAAGGATGAAGTGCCAGGAAATCTTGACATTTTGTTAGGTACAATAAAGGGTCAGTATCATCTGTATGTCGTCCAAAGGTGGGAAAAGTTAATTTAAGGTGATCACTTTTGACCATGGTATTTGGTAAAGTTGAAACAGTCTCAGTGGAGAGTGTACTTGTAACTGGAGCAGCTTTTGTTTCTGTTTGAGGTTCAACATCTTTCACATTGTGCACTTGTAAATCCTTTTTCAACTGTGTAACACAGGTCTGACATTCACTAATTTTTTCTTCACATTGCTGAAGATTTGTAGTAAGCTGATCCAAACTTCCCTGGAGGGTTTGCTGGATTGATTTTAGATCATGGTGGACATCTCTCCGGAGTTTTTCCACTTTGTCAACAACTGCTGAGGTAAGGGTTGATTCAAATTTCTGAAACTCAGTTGCAAGCATCAATTGTACAGCTTTGACCAACTGGTCAGCATCTGCAGCCTCTTGTTGCTTAGCTCCAGTGAGTATGGTGACAATCTCTTGCTTATTGGACTCTATTTTGGCTGTAAGGGTGGTGATTTGATTCACATGCTGGGATGATGAAGTTTTCAGCTTTTGAGTAAGTTCATGCAAACATTTCTCTTGTTTTTTCATTGTTACCATCAGATTGTCCAAATTACCTTGCACATAAGAACTGACCTGCTGAATTTCTCTCCTAGGGGTTGGAAGGTTCCCAGGCAGATCATGCTGTTCCATTGTAGAAGGTGATGAAACATCTGCAGACGTGCACAGTTGCATGCTAACATGTTCCTGGGACAAAGAAAGAGGTTGCATTAGAATATGGCCTCCCAGAGCAGTAGGAAGTGTCTGTACTGGAGTTGCATGGCTTGGGAAACTGTGGACCGGTGAAATATTATGCATAATTTGGTCATGAGGTGGAAGTCCAGAAAGTGTTTGAGTTTGCATTGGAGGTGACCACACTGGCGTGGAAATTGTTGGGGCATCAGGTGCATCAATATCAACATATGTTGACGTTGAATGGGAAAAGAACTGGGCCATGACTTGTGTTGGTTGTGGGTGTGATTAGGATTTGTGTGTGTTTGGGACAGCAGGAAAAAAAAGGAATAAATAAAAAAAAAACCAATAAAACAAAAAATACTCACAAAGAAACTGTTCTCTGCAATCAATTACATCATGTCCATACTATCAATGTAAGAGAAACCTTTCAAATGCATGTACAAAAATACAAGACAGATGACGATCACATTTTCTAGTTCAAGTTCCCACACACTTTGATACAAAAAATAAATTCAGCTTACACTGGTTGCTCAAGCAAATTTTCACAATAAACTCAAATCATTATACCAAAAACCACATACATGACAAGTTTTTTTTTTTATACACAATTTCAGTTATTTGATGATTTTTGTCAATAGTTCTCACATTCAGCAAGAAAAAAACAATTTTAAACTATTAAACATTCACAAACAAAACCCTGTCCAGTAATTCAGGTCAGTCAGTCAGTCAAAGAAATTTTCAGTTATTCAAGTCAATCAATGAAAGTTTTTAATTATTCAAGTCCCTTAAAGTGTTTAAAGTCCCTTAAAGTGTTCATGTCCCTGTTTGGGTGCCATTTCTGTAACGGTGGTCACACACACAAAAAAAAAAATTTTTAAGTAATAACTCTTAGGTTAGATTCGAACCCGGGCCTCCCGCATGGCAGGCGAGATTTCTACCACTGAACCACGGAAGGCGCTGTCGGGGCCGTGCGTCTGGTAGTATCTCCCACTAACGCAGTCACCCTCGGGCAAAAAAAAAAATAAAATATATTATAATATAACATACATATATTAACAAATTTTATGCATGATTTCGGGTGCCAGACAAGTTTTAAACCTTGCCACAAATAAATCTAACTATAATTAATTACCCAGGATAGCGAAAACAAAACTTATACAAGACCCTCCGTTACATACAGTAACATAGAACCATACGAAATAAGAACAAGAAAATCGAATTCCACTTAGAAAGATTTAATGAATTAATTGAAATGGCAAATACAACTACAAGTAATAACAATACCAAAAATAAATATTTATATAGTCAATATCCTACAATCATTTTAAGTAACCCAAAACAAGATTCCTCTCAAAAAACAACAACAAATACACCAAGAAATAAATAAACAAAACTTTTCAAATTTCTCAAATAACTAATTAAATGAAAATAAAGGGAGGTTGGGTGGAGAATGTATGTATGTAAGTGTATGAGTGAAACTGACCCAAGAGGCTTGCAGTGGTGACGTCAGGAGGTTACACGTCAGCAGTTCACTGGCTGGCAGGTGACTTGGCAGAACGGATAGAAATGATGAACAGGCAGCCGTTTTCGGAGGTGTCCTAACACATCGCACCGGTAATTTTTCAACACGAAGGTAACATAAGACTGGCACTCGTCAGCAATTACCAGGAAACTTGTTGTTACGGTGGCTATAAAGGACAAGTCAGTGAAAACTTGAGCATCGCCGCATCTCTTCCTCAGCTTCCTCAGACCCAGGCAGAGCCACACCCGCAACGCAACTTGGTGACGCAAACACCACTCCCACACTGGAGGTCAGAACTCTCTCTCTCAGAAGAGAAAAAAAAAAACCCTTTTATATAATTTCACATCATTGTAATTGGTTGGAGTATCCAATGGGGATGAACTCATTATAAAAGGCAGTGACAAAGGAAGTAAACACAAAATAGGGGCAGTACAGAAAGTTTCTGTATTGTCACAATAGTCAATAAGTGTTGCACGGATTTCTTGAGTTAAATTTGGTCCTTGTCTTCTTTGTTCAGGTTCTATCAACTCTTCAATTCCTTCTCTTCCTCTACCTAGGCATCTTCCTCTATCTCATCTTCCTCTACCTCCTTCTCCTCTTCCTCTACCCACTTCTTCTCCTCTTTGAGCTCCCCCTCTCTTTCTCACTCTTCTTGTAGCTCCTTCCATTTTTGATGAATACAGGTGAACTCAACTGCTGCCTTTTATAGCACACCTGAGTGCTGCGTTTTCAAATTAGCATGTGTGCTTCCACACTTTGTGGATGTGTTAATCCAATTCATTCATTAGCGTGGTCATATGCAATCCGGGGCTTTGTAATGACAAGGAAGTAATCTCACAATTCTTATCTGTGTCTAAATAGTCGAATTGTGTGTAGAGTTTTACAAACCACTGTGTTTAATGTTTTGCAAAAAGAGTGAAGCAGACATTGTGTGTAATGTTGTGCAAATCTGTGGTGATGTTTTGCTTCTTGGAGTAGAATTTTGCAAATTGTGTGGAAATTTTTATTTCAGAGTGTAAACAATCGTAAAAAACTGTAATACAATGAAGACTATACAGTGTTATTTAACATTACTAAATTTCTGTATTTGAATACTGTTTCACTCCAGGAGATCATAAAGAACAGTTTATTTACTTTTTTCTTTGCTCTTTTGTAAGTATTTAATTTAATTTTCACTTTAATTTCCCTTACAAAATCAATCTAACCAATCTAAATGAATGATTTTTTACGGATGGAGTTATTCAAGCCATCTGGTGAAATAGTTTCATATCGAATTATGCATCGCAGCAAAGCAAAATATTGCAATGTCAGACTTTTCCAACATTGTGCAGCCCTAATAGTGGGATAGATTTATTTAGCCTTTAATAAATCATAAAGCGTAAACATTCATCTGTATATGACTAGCACATATCACATACTTGTTTTTGTTGACAGTATCTATCTTTTTGTTTGTTTTTAGTTATTGTATTTACACTAGTGAGCCAAAGCTTTTTTTATTTTTTTTATTTTTACCAGTCAGGAAACAACAACAGTTAATGTAGTTAAACCTTGGCAACTACAAAACAACCATGATTTTGCTACTCTAATTGAAGGCAAAATTATTAGCCATTTCATTTTTTCTTTCAAATATTTCCAAATGATGTTTAAGAGGATAATTTTTTTTATTTAATTTTTTTATTCATATTAGTTTTAATAACTAATTTCTAATAACTAATAATTTCTTTAATCCTAAAGACTTTACTAGTTATTTTGCAAGCTACTAGTATTCAAGCTTACAGTTTTTTACAATGGCTATGACAGTTTTTTCAATACATTTAACAAGTTTGCTAAACTCTTAACGCAGCAACACACCTAAAACACACAATTGGCAAAACAGTTAATTTCATGCTCAAAATCACACATTGTAAACTAAACTTCTAAACTTCTTTTCAAAATACAATAATAAACTAACACACTACACTATGTCTAACAAAACACTGCAAACATGTTTCAAAATGACATAATTGTTCAAAACACTAACATATGTTCTCTTTCAACAGAAACATTCAGTCAATCAGAACACACTGACAATAAAAACACTATCATCAGATAAAATTACAGAAACTGCATTAGTTTATGTGTCAGCTCTGCCCTTATATTTGAAGCCTCTCTACATTTTCTATTTGTTGGTTTAGTAAATGCATTTTCTTTCTTTTAATGCAAAGATTCAATACAAAAATAAAGAAAAAAATTGCTTTATAAAATTTACAGTTGATTTTAAAAAATACAGACACAGAATTGCTGCAGTAGACTTTATTTGCAAAAGGACATCGCTGCAAGATATACAAACAGAAAAACCATCGCAATTATAATAAAAAAAACAAAGTAATTTTCTATTCTGCCTGGTCTTCTGCATTTGCCCGACTTCTTCTCTGGCCCGGCATGGTAACGATGGCCCTTTAACCTATTATGTTTCTCCTACGGTGATGCCTTTTTGCCAAGTTGAAGCCAGTCTCGTCAACATAGATAATTTCATGTGGGACTTGATTGACCTCCAACTTCATGACTCTCTAAAAGTAATTAGACACAGTGTAAATGGTTCACTGTACTATAGCTAATGTATGTACTAATGAACGCCAGGTTTATAGAGTCTTTTACTGCAAAACACACTGTGCATAAAGTAATTACTGTATTGCATAACCTTATCTGGACGTATTGGTGACGGAGTTCTGCAATGTGCTCACTGTTCCTTTCAAAAACCTCTTAAGTCCTTTTTTAGATATTACAGAATGATCATGTGATTTGAAAAATCTCAACACATGAGTGTGCTTTCTAGATGGGAAAATGTTCATATGGGAGATGGGAGCTGTCATATATATACATATACACACACACACACACACACACACATACACATATACACATATACATACATAAACAGCGGTGTTGTCACGCGCGTTCTGATCAGCTGTGTTGTCGCGCACGTACTGATCAGCTGTGTTGTCGCGCGCCTACTGAAGGGCGGGACCGAGGGTATGTTGCGTCGCGAGGCCACTTTTGATCATTTTGGAAGGGCACTTTCTATCCAAGACTAAAAAGGGCATGTGCTCTGCACAGGTTGAGCCCTATGTGTGCACGTGCCTGCACCTCATACTTCAGTTTCTCACAAAATCATAACCAATTAAATACTCTCTAGTATATGACATGCCCCACCTCCTTCAAGACGCTTCTCATTTGCTTTTCATTTGATGCGCTTGATCTCAATCACTCTCACTGGCAGAGCGCCGGTGATAAAAACAAAACACTATTGGCTGTTTTACAGTTTTTTTGGATTGCTTAAGCACGATTTTCAAAACAGGGCCCGTGTTTTCAAAACAGTACACACAATTAGCACAACCACACACCCAAATAGCAAAACACTACAGATCCTTTGCATAATTAAACACTCTTATAAAAACTATAGACTAATGTTTAAAAACCACACTTTTTACGATAAGAAACACACATTTTCACATTTACTATACACTGTTTGCACGAGTTACACACTGCTGTGATAAACCTAAAACACTTTTAGCACTTCTGCTTCCCTATGATTAGAGTAGGCTACCATCAACAAAGTACAAATATAAATACTATAATACTATAAATAGAATACTATAATAAGAAAATGTCAAATTGCAACATCAAGCAGCATAATGAGCAGTTTTTAACGTCAAAAAATGAATGGAAGTGAATGAGACCGGAAGTCTCAAGCCAAAAAGATTCAAATGGCAGCCACCGCTCGTCGGCGGAGAATAAGTTGAATACTATATCGCTGAAAAAATTCAAAATGAAAGGCCTAAAATTACATGACGGAGAAAATGTGGATTGCACGGTGACCCAATGGCGTTCATCGAATTATGTGCTATAACATGTAAAACAGGATCATGAAAGGAACGTTCAAAAAGCAACTCATGTGTTAGCTTAATCATATTATTGTATTATTCAGATTAAGGCAAATAATCTGATTACTGATGTCCATGTAATCATAGTCATTGTAAGCAAACAGTGAGTTCTCACAATAAACACGATAGATGCTATATTAGTAGGCAGGGGTAATTAGTTCAACCACTTTGACAAGTGCCACAATTATGGCAAGGTGACAGACTGGGTCAGAGCATCTCTGAAACTGCGAGGCATGTCAGTCACTCCCAATCAGCAGTGGCGAGAATTTGGGATGGCAGTGGGAGGAGGGATGAATCACAAACCGGTGACAGGATGTTGGCTGCCCAGAGCTCATCGATGTACAAGGGCAGCAAAGGCTATCCTGTGTGGGCCAAGCCAAAAGAGGTCACGCAATTTTAATCACACTTTGCTGTGTTGCCTATGATGACTCATGTTCATCAGCGCCTAAAATTGGCATTCAAACACTAGAATTGGACCTTGGAGCAGATGAGAAAGGTTACTGGTTTGTTTAACATCATATGGACGGTCTTGCTCTGTAAGTGTGTTTCATTTACCTGATGATTCTATGCTACTAGAATTTACTGTCAGGCAATAACAAACCATTGGAGTAAGTGTGAAGCTCTAGGCAATGCTCTGTGGGAAACCCTGGGTCTAGACATAAATTTGACACATGCTGCTTGCTGAATCAGTTTTGGCAGCATGCAAAGGGCCAGCAGCTTATTAGGCAATTGGTCAGAATGTTTTGGATCTGCAGTGTATATCACAGTTATGTGCATTTGTCCCCCCCAGCTTAAATAAACACTTCAGGATGGCAACAGGGTTGACAGTTTTACATTGTTAACGTCTTAACAATAAGAGTTGATGTTTTTACCGAGACATCATGTCAAAGTTGTGAGCTTTAACTCGTCAAGTCATCTTTATTTGTATAGCGCTTTTTACAATGTGTCAAAAGCAGTTTTGTGATTGTGTCAAAGCAGCTTAAGAGAGGAAGAAAGAAAAAGCCATAGCGATATTTCAGATTATGTAACATTCTAGCATATCAGGCAGGCAGGAGAATAGTTGAGTTCAAGCTGAATTTAGTTCAGATTCATACAAATATCACAGATCCACTGAAGGACAGCTCCACCGATGCACAGCTTTGCCAGCCCCAAGCATGCAAGCCAGAGGCAGCAGTGGCAAGCAACCAAAACTCCACCAATTTATGGAAATGGAGAACAAATCTTAGAAGAAACCAGGCTCCCCTCTGGCCAAATATAATGGGCATAGCTGACAGAGGGCACTGGGGTCTTTGCAGGAATCAGTCTTGATCTCTCGACTCATCAGTGACCATGATAACCATCTGCTCTGGATACAGTCCGGATCCAAGATTATGTGAAACTCGCAATAAGGAAAATCAACAGACTAAAG